CGGCGCCTTCGACGGGAGGGTCTTGGTCGAGAGGACTATTGAGAAAGTCTCTCGAACACCGAAGGTTTCGCCGTTCCGACGCATTGGCAGTCGGCGAGGACCGTGTGGATGAGTCTCTCGCAGTGGCACTGAGGACTCGCCTCATGGATAGTGCGTTTGCGAGTCAAGAATTCTCTGAGGTCTTCTACGGGTGGTTGGTGACAACCCCCGGCCTCAGAAGAATCGCTCTGGTGAGCTGACGAGAGATTTTTTGAGCGCTCTCTCTGGCACTCGTTGGGTGGAATGCCTTGGTGTTGGAGTCGGGCGATCTCGCCTTGACTGGCGAGTCTTCGCGTTTGAGCGAACTCCAGTACGTGGGCGAGTTTCGACCCCATGTTTAGAAGAGCGGGTTCGGGAGGAACCGCCTATTTCCTTTCCTTTACGTTTATCCGCCAAATGATTATGGCGAGGCTCGCCAGCCTTCGAGGATTCGCCTACTCGGGTAGGCTCGTACGCTCGGTGTGGTTTATTCGCATCAGGGATATGACTTGAGAAGCGAAGTCCTCCTGAGCGGTCTAGTGTTTCTCGGGCCTGCATGATGGTTCAGGCCGTCGTGAGGAATGGAGGTTTGGACCTCCTGTCTGACGAGCGTTTGCCGTCGCTGTTGGTTAGTTCTCCCAGCGGGGAGAACGTCACCGTGAGCTGTGGCAGTGTGGTTTGTGCCGGAGTGAACCGGCTTGACTCGACACCTGTCCAGTCCTTCGTGCTGTGCGTACTGCAAGCGACCGTTTGACGGTCTTGGGGTACTGTGCCCTCTCCCTTCGGGTCGAGAGGGATGGGAAGGCCCATCTCAGCACGTGGGGTAGCGGATACCCAGCTGTACTGACGATCTTGGGGTTTGCTGACGGATTCGACCCTGAACTCGGGCAGGCGAGTTGGGTGAAAGGCGAACTTCCGCCATCCTGATCGATCTTAACTCATGCTGGCGAGCCGACTGTTAGGCGAACCTAGCATCGAGCCTATCTGACGTCTACGCGACTTAGGCCCGTGCCAGAGAACTGAGCGTGCGAGCTCCTCTCGTAGGCGAATTTCCTGTAAGCCTATAGAGGTATCTTTTACCGCCTACAAGGGTGTCTAGGGTTTGGTAGGAGGTGGTGACGGAGACTCCGGCGGAGAGGCGGCGGAGGAGAGGGACTGGGAGGGATCGCTCAAAAGATGGCTGATTTCATCTCTAATCATCAGAAGAGATTAAAAATTCCTCTTTCGCAGCCAATTTAAGGTAAATTGGGGTTTTTGTTGAAACAAAAATTTTGATGTTCTATTTATACATGAAAATGTTACACATTAAAAGTGTTTGTGAGATTAATAAATTAATTGAATAGTTGCAAACACTAATCTAATCTGTGATGGTCTGTAATATGTGATTTGGTTAAAATGATATAAGATGTGGGTTATATAATCCACATAAATTTTGTGATGGTCTGTAATATGTGATTTGGTTAAAATGATATAAGATGTGGGTTATATAATCCACATAAATTTGGAATTAATGAAATATGCATAAAATATTTTAAATGATATAAGATGTGGGTTATATAATCCACATAAATTTGGAATTAATGAAATATGCATAAAATATTTGTAGGGTAGTTTAAGCCCTAATTTCAACAAGGATCTTATATGTTATCTATATAAGGTTTTGATTCATTATATGTTGTTTTTTCTGTAATTCAACTGTTGGAAGATTGGTTCTAGGGTCCTTTTGGCTTGATTTGGGGCACGTGAAGATTTCAGAAACTATTATGACGAAATGTATGTAAACATTGAATTATTTGAAAGTCTTTTGACTTAAACTATTGGATTTTAGCCCCGTTTTCACAAATTTGTAATTAGAATTGTTACTACTTCAGTGAGTCTATTGAACTTTTATTGCTTATTGGTTACTATTCTTAATTGATGCAGATCGATAATTAGAGAGGCTGATCACAACAAATTTGTCATCAGATGGTATAATTTTTGTATCTTTTGCATTGTCGAATCCTTTGGGTTATCTGTTACACAGTTCCTTATTTCTATAGTTTTTTTTTTGAATTTAACACTGTCAATAATAACGAATAAACAAAACAAAGATAAAAAATCTTTTATTTGTTTGATAACTTTCTTCATGTATTATTGTCTTATTCCAAGAATGTAATGAGATTGTTACCCTTCTATTTTCTTTAAATTGCTAATCACAGTGTACTTGGACTTTATGGTTATTGTTTGTTCTTATTGCTTCTTATTAGTGCTTGCATTGATTTGATAAGGAAGCTTTTGTTGGGAATTTTAGGTTTTGTATTAATTTTTACGGTTTGTTTGATTTATTTTCGTGATTATCTGTGTATATTGTTCAGGTGGTTGTATCCAATTCTCTCCGGTCCATTTGCTACTAGCTGGAATCACTTCATCTTCTAGATCAGTACGTAGAAGTATTTAAATTTGTTTGGGTTATTGCATAACAAATTACAAGAATTTTAGACGACTATGGTTCTCACTCATGACAAGATTTTATGACCTCGCTTCCTTTCAACCTATCTGAGAAAATTATTAATTAGTTTAAAGTTCTTTTTTTGGTCTATTTACATTACAATTTCTACATTAAATTCCTTTCATGAACTGTTAGTTTAGTTTTTTTTGGTTCAGTTTTTATTAGGAGAATATTGGGAAGTGTTTGAAAGTTAATGATTACAAGTAAAAACCGATTAAGGGAAATTAAAAACCATAACATATTAAGAGACGACCAGGTTTTGCTTCCAACTTTCAGTTTTATACCTTTTGTGAGTCACAGTTTCAAGAAATCTCAGACGTATCCCATAACTTAAAGTTCTTTTTTTTATAAACATACAGTTTTTTCCTAATGGCAAAATGGGTGAAGTTGTGGAATATTCAATTGAACTAAAGAAGTCAAATAGTTGATGGTCAGTTATCTTGTGTTTACAACGTACTCGGGTTGTAACTTACTCATAATTCCCACAACATTAATCGGTAGTTACTTTTGTTGCCTTCATGTTGAATGGCATAATTTCCTCAAATAGAATTGCTTCACCCCTAATTCCAACAATCATTTAAGCAAAAACTCAATTGAGCATTACAAAGCAAACCCGAAGAGGAAGCTAAAACCTATCTAACAATTCCATCTTACATCATTTGTTTTAAATGAATTAAAATAGAAGGAGCACTATTTTTCCTTTTAGCTAATTGGTTCTTCGAACAACTCTTCCTAAAAATGGTTTTGCTTCTTTTTTAGAACACTGAGGATCTTTTTCAACATAATTACATTCCTTCGGTTGCTGTAACCATGCTTTGTTTCCTGATCATAGTCCTTACTTCGCTGATTTTTTTGGAAATTCATTAGAAAAAGATAACCATGCTTTGTTTCCTGATCATAGTCCTTACTTCGCTGATTTTTTTGGAAATTCATTAGAAAAAGAACATGCGCTAAACCAAAGAAGACAAAAGTAGATTTTTTGGGCTTTCAGGCAAGCTGCACTTTCTATATTTATATAGGTCATGCTTATTTTTTGTTTATTTATTAACAAACATGAATGTCATTATTTGCATTACATATACTACTTCATATCTAAAGCAAAATACTTTATTTTGGTAACATGTTCAATATTTGCAGAAATTCTTTTAGAAACCGTGCTTTGCACGGGTCTAAATACTAGTGAAAGTAAGCTTAAAAGTCATGCAATCTTAAGTTTACTAACCAGTAGTGCGTCTAAATAATATAAATTTTATTTTATTTACTTCTTAATTTTTTATTTTCTCAATTGTAACATGAGGATATACATAAACTTTAGATTGAAGCAATGAAAAATATGATACATAAGAAAGTTTATCCAATTTCTATAATTTATTAATATAATTATGAAAACAAATTTTTAGTTATTAAAATATATTTTAATCATATATTATGTTCACGTTAGGTAAGACTCTTATTTATAATGTCATTATCTAGTTTACATTGTGTTGCATATTGCTTTTTAAATTGTATGATTTTTTGAAAAAATATAATACATAAAATCTTAAATTTGAAAGGGAGATGGATGAATGGAAGTACTGAAAACTTGAAGAAAGAGGGAAATGAAGTTTAAATTTGAAAAAGAAGAAAGAATTGAAAGTAGTGGAACTTTCTTTCTTTCTTGCTTTTCTGTTCTTTTTTTTTTTTTGGTTTTGTGTGTGTGTGTGGGGTGGTGGTAGGGGGAGAACGTAACCCACATCAGTAAAGTTTTGAGAAATGACCAAATTATCCCTATATATTATTTGACAAATTAAAGAGATAATTACTCATTCCTTCACTTTTGCCTACTCTCAGAAAGTCTCTATAGAGCAGAATAGATATATCTCCATTCAGATGCTACTTAATGATTAGTCACCTCTCCCTGTATCTCCTCTCTTAGCCACTGGCTATGGACACTAGAAAAACCTTTTCTTTTTAGTATGACAAATTTAATCCATCTAAACTTGTTCCCCACCCAACTCCCTGAACTCTGGGGTGTCTCACAAGGTACAACCTGTAACTTTTGAATTTTCCTACCAGACCCCATAACCATGTTCGACGGATCAAGAACTTACTTGCACAATTCATCAAATTGAAAAGTACGAAAGCTTAAGGTGGTTTAGGGAGACACCCCAAAGTTCAGGGAAGTTGGTCGGGAAAAGCTCACCGGGTTCGTCTGGAAGCCCAAAGCTTCAGGAGATTTTGTGAAAGTTACCTTTCTTTTCTCCCTTCCCGCAAACCCGCAAACTTCAGGAGGTTTTGTGAAATTTACCTTTCTTTTCTCCCTTCAGTCTCACAGGATCCGTTAATAGGACATCCTACGAAAGTTTCATTACTTATCAGGACACGATAATGAGCAAAACAGGCAAGTTCAGCCCACTTGATGCCTTTTGAGCATTATTCCAGAACTAGAGAAGGAAAGCAATAAACAAATTTGAAATTTAAATGAAACATCACAAAGGATACATGATGCCTCATCTGCTAATCCGAGACAGAAAAGATACCAACAATATGAACATTGAATTAGCCTAAATACAATCCCTCATCCATAACCTACTACTCAACTTTGTATACCTCTCACTACGATGAAATATGTACAAGAAAGCATGGGAAAGAAATGAAGGATACTACAGGCTGCCAAGTTTTAGCAGCCAAACCCTCTCAGCATGAAATTACCGTATATACATCTAGACCAACGAGCCTGCCGGTGGTTATGGATATAATGCCCTTTTTTCCTCAATTGGAGTCTCGGTTAGGTCCACCGAAAACTGGTCTCATGTAAGTATCGTCAAACTTCCTCCAATAGATATGAATGGTATGTGCTGGTCTCTCCAGCAGCATGTTGAGGCTCCTCTTGGCTTTCAGAAGGGGGGAAGAGGGGTAGTCTTCTGTGGGGAGAAGTGGAAGGGTGATTTCGTCTTTGCAAGGGCTCCCACTGTACGCACGTGCAGGTGCACGGTGGGGAGCCAGGGCGGACAAATTTTCAAAACCGACCCCTTGGGGTTTTTATTTGCAAAAAACGACCGGTTTTGAAAATATTTACAAAAACCGACCCCAGGGGCTGAAAACAGGTCGGTTTTTGAAAATTTTTTTCCCAAACTTCACGGGAGTTGAACTCCCGTGAAGTTTTTCTCATAACAAAACTTCACGGGAGTTCAACTCCCGTGAAGTTTGGGAAAAAATTTTTTAAAAACCGACCTGTTTTCAGCCCCTGGGGTCGGTTTTTATAAATAAGTGTGAAATGGGTCGTTTTTTGCAATTAAAAACCCCAAAGGGTCGGTTTTGAAAATTTGTCCGAGCCAGGGCTTTTACTAGTGGTTTTGTGAGCATACCAAACATCTGAAAATATGCAGATAAGAGAAAGAAAATTTGAAGCGTAGAGAATACAAATTTAGGTAAATTACAACAAAATTTTGGGGTTTTTTTGCACAACCATGCTTTTTAAGGCAAATTTCAAAAAATCCCCCTTAAGTCTGGTAATCCCCCTTAAACTTTCAAAATGTCACAAAAATCCCCTTGCGTCTTGGGGTTCTCAGAAGATTCACTTCAACTGACATCGTTTTTGCAAAAAAAAAAAAAACCCACCCATTGTTAGCTTGACTCGGTCATTGATGACCAAATCAACCACGGTTTCTCTGTTGAGAGAACGGTGGAGAACGTGAATCGTGGGTGGTTGAGAGAAAATCTCTCATGGGGACGGATCTGAGGAGTAGAGATGATGGGTTTAGCCCCTATATAAGGAGGACCATTCTTCTTAAAAAACACAACGAAAAACAAGAGAAAACACACTTACCCATTACCGGAGCCCCTCAGAAATATTAGTTCTTCTTTCTCTTCTCTTCTCAGAGTTCGTTCACAAGTATCAGAGCTGAAGGTTCTTCATCATCTCGGAATCCTGCTATTTTCCCAACAAAGAAGCATTCTCTGTTGAAGAAGAAAAGTTCAGTTGAAGAAGAAGAAGAAGAAGAAGCAACAACATTCTTGAAGAAGAAAAGGAAGCCTACTCTATATCCTTCGGTTAAAAGACAACCTACTCAAAGTTAAGCTAGCCTACTCTCTGTTGTTTCATAGTCGTTGTTCATAGCCTACTCCCTTTATTTTTTCGATCCTACCCTTTGTTCATAGTCTAGCCGCAAGCCTACATCTACAAGCCTAATCTACATCCACATGTGTACATCCAGCTAGCAGACCTTATTGTTTTCGGTCCTACAATATAGCCTATATCCCTATTGTTTACTGGTCCAACATCCCTATTGTTTACTGGTCCTGGTATCAACATCTCTATTGTTCGTTGGTCCTACATCAAGCCTACAAACATCCTATTAATACATCTTCAAGGCTCTCTCCCATCATCACGTGAGCTCAAAGCCTTGCATACATCCCTATTGCATACATCTGCATTAACATAAATTGGGCCTTCTTGTTGGGCCTTGAGTGTTGTGTTTGTTTGCTGGCCCGGCTGTTCCAAGTTGATCATCTCAAATCCAGTCAAAAACGACGTTGAAACTTCGACAACAGATTCTTCGGTCAACACCGCTAAGTGACGACCTCGCTTTAATTGGAGCTTCATTTCTCAACTCACAAGAATCAGGTTCATTTTAATTAATTAATTAATTTATCTTTATTATATTTTAGTATAATTATCAAAATATCAACCTTATACATATTTTAAAATTGAATTTAATTTTAGTTCTTTACCGAATGACATTGATGATGTAATCGAAACCACTGCTCCAACTCTTACTGATAAATCAACACCTGAAGAAAAGAAAGGGTTTGAACAGTGAAAGTCGAAAGATAAAAAGGCGAAAAGCCTTATGATCATGTTCATGGAAGATAACTTAATCAAAGTTTTTAAAACTTATAAGACTTCCATGGACATGTGAAATACAATAATACTCCCTTTAAAAGCACGAGTTCGGAAAATCTTTTTTAGACAAATATACCCCTTTATAGTTTGAACTACCTTATCTATAATCAAATTCTAATTTTCAATGGTCAATATTACTCTTCACTATTTTGATTATTTTATTTATATCTTAATCTATCCTAATCATAATCATATCTTATCCTAATCCTATGTGAACCATGTTTAGCTTAACAATTTAAAAAAACTAATATTAATAAAATATATAAAACATAAAAATAATATTAGTTTGTTAAGATAAAGAAATTACAAGTAGATAACATATTATAATACATGAAGTATTGCAAAAAAAACCTTAAAGTTTTAAAATTGCAGAAAAGACCCTGAAAAGTTCAAAATTATAAAACTCATCCAAATGTCTCAAAACTTAAAATAAAAAACATGAAATTAAAAAATTAACATCAGTTTGCAAAGAATTTAAAATTTACAGTTAGCACCTCAATGTCTCAAAAATTATAGAAACACCCTTAAAAGTTTAAATTACAGACAAGCATATTAAAATTCTAAAATTTTAAAACTTACAAACAACACAGATGAATTCAAGAGATTACCATGATACACCTAAAATTTTTGATATTTAAATTTATTTTTTTTAATTAACACCCTCAATATCTCAAAAATTATAGAAACACCTTCAAAAGTTCAAATTATAAAAAGTCACCCTAAAATTCTAAAATTTATAAATAAAATAAGATGAATTCAAGATATTACTCTTAGACACCTAAAAATTAAAATTTGTCAAAATTGACCTCAAAATTTTTTAAAAACTCCTTCAAATTTTAAAAATCGTAAAAAAAAAACTCTAAATTTTTAAAATTTTTAACTAGCACACATCAAATTTGTCGATTGGTAGACCGCTGAAATTTAATATTTTTCAAAATTAATCTATAGTTTTAATAATTACAAAAGACACCCTCAAAATTTTAGAGTTACAAGAAATATACTAACATTTAAAAAATTACCACCAACACATGAAACATAGAATTTACAACTACCAAACTTAAAAGTAAATTTTTTTAAAAACTCTTTCAAAATTTTAAAAATTATAAATCACACCCTCAAAGTTCAAAACCACAAAAATGGGCTAAAATTTTAAAACTTGGATATATATATATATATATATATATATATATATTAAAATTTCTAATTTAGGGATTTACTATCCATTTTCAGCATCTAAGAATAGTCTAAGTTGATACTGGTAAACAAAAACAATAAGAATTGATTAAAAACATCCGGTTAATGGATAAAATTTTTAAAAATATTATAGATTAAAAATTATCGGCACTATATAAATTAAAGTAATTTCATATAATTTTAGTAATAAGTTGGGGTAGCCAAAATACATTCGTAACATTAATTGATAGATGTTTAAATCCATAGAAATGATAAAACACTATAATATTATACCTTAGCATTAATTGATTTTAATTTAGAAACTTTAATCTTTGACGTTAATAATATTTATAGGGTAAAAGAATACAAGGAATTACATATGGAGAAACTATTAGAATATTTAGAGATAACTTTAAAAGAATTGAGTTATTTCCATTGCAAATGGGAAAGTGATGGAAATAAATCTAAAATTCAGAAAACGTCAATGAATCACTTGAATTGGCATTAACATAAGACATATCTATTAATGAAGCACTGAATGAGTTACATTAAAAAATAATTTAATAACTTTATCCTAATCAAAGAAAAAATCTCCATGGAAGACATAAGAAAAATTAGTAAGTATTCATAAATTCCATACTGTGTTCTTCAAATTAAATATTAATATTATAATCTAAGAGAAATTGGTAATGAATAATGCAGGTATTTAGTTTAGATCTTTATGGAAAATGACAGGGATAGAGCAAAGGTAATATTATTGAAATAACAGAAATTCTTATTGGATGCACATCAGAAGAATTCATTTTAGAGGAAAATAAAGAGATAGCTTCTAATTTATTTAAGTAATAAATTAGGAACACAAAGAATTTTATATATATGAAATTAATATTTATTCTCATTGAAATAGAAAAAAAAATCAAAGTCTATATTTTGAGCAGTTTGTGTTGAACATCATAAGTACATTTGACTTCTTTGTAAAGTTAAATGAGATGATAAAAAATTAACGAGCCTAGGAAAGATAATAGCATAAAAAATACAAAATTAGCCTGATGTCACAATTGATGTAGATGATGAAGACAATACTCTAGAATTGTCCGAGAAATGATAAATGATAAACCTGAAGAAGGATTGATCTTAACTCAATAAAAAATAAAATAGAAGAAATAAAAACAATATTTTATGAATATTTTATAGAATAGGTTAATTATTTTGAGTGAAATTAGGAATCTTTAGAAGGGAGTTTCATGAATTTTTTTCAGTACTTTTATATTCTTATGTGGATGTTTTTATCATATAAAAGTATACTAGAGTATTAATCTTTAATTTATATTTTTTTATGAAGTCTATCAATGATTAGGAATAAACTTCATATTCTCTTTTGCATCGTTTTAACATACTTTAAATCAATCATTTTGCCATATTGGTTTTAAATATTCACTTTCCTTGTATAACACTATTTTAATATTTTTCACTTTGCAATGCTATACTTTCTCAAATAAAGCTTAGTTTCATATCGGTCAAAAATAATATGAAATTTTAAATTATTTTTAAATTATATTTGTTTTTTATCAATTCAAATATCAACATGAAAATTTAAATTGGGTGTATCCCATTTAAACAAACATAAAAAAAATAATTGGGACGTAAGAGTTTAAAGAAAAAAATAAGCACAAACTGTCAAAAATACTTAATCATGGTATTAAATCACGTGCATTGCACGTGTGTAAAAACTAGTAAAAGAAAAATACGACACTGCTTCTGAAGTTAACATTTAACTCATCTTGCATAAGTATAATTCTTGTCATATGCAAGAGGAAGACAATGTCGTAGAGCATATAAATAAAATGATTGTCATAGCTAAAGACTTATCTACTACTGGGATCAAAATCCCGAAAAGAATGCAAGTGGCAACCATTCTCAATAGTCTTCCCCCTTTACTTGTTGTGGTTGTCACCACATTAAGAATGAATCATGCTATTAAGTCTGTCACTAATCTTCCTATGCACCTAGCCTTAGAACAGGACTTAATAGTCAATAGGAAAGAACCAGAACTCAATATGGTACAGCAAGAGCTGAATTATGTCCGCCAAAGGTATAATGTTGGAAGCTATAAAAACCCTGGTTCTAGTAAACCACAACCACGAGGATCGAAATCACAGCAGTTCAAGAGAAAAAAAGTACCCCGCGGAGCCTGCTACAATTGTGAAAAGTTCGGGTATTTCAAGTCCAATTGCCCACAAGGAGAAAAGCAGGAGAATAAGGAAGGCTATAAGCATCCATAACAAGGGGTGCTAGT